TAGGACACTGGGCTCCTCTTGGGGTGGATGGGGAGAGTATGGAAAGGGAAAAAAAATTTCGGGGTGGGTAGCGGGTGTGCGGTAAAGATAATAATTGGGCCCGATACCGGGCCATGCAGGGTCACATGTGAGAAACAACTCTCCTCCAAGTGCATCTTGTGCACTGGGGAGTCCGGGTGCATGGACCATGGGGTTACTTGATGTGGGCTGAGCACCACCCTCCCTCTGTGCCGCATTCCCAAGCGGTCACAGCAGGGGACCTCAGGCTCCTTTGTCAGCTCCTATCCTTCCCCTCTCATGTCCATCCTCCATCGAAATTCCAATGTCAAACTCTCTCCTGGGTGCCTGGCACCACAGGGAGTCGGGTCCGTGAGCCATAGCGGGTCCGTGATGCGGCTGGGATACACAACCCTCCCTCTATGCCACATGCCTAAGCGGCCATAGCAGGGATCCTGGGCACCCTCACCAGCAGCATCCATTCCCTCTCATGCTCATTCTCCATCATGAATCCAAAAAAAGGCAGCGCTTGCGCACGCGCGCGACTCTCAGTCACAGGTGAAAGCGGGGGTGGGTGGTCTCATCCAGGTTATCTTTGGCATCTGCAGCTACATGGTTGGCCACATTCAGGCGACCTTGTTCCCTACGCTCGTTGGCCAGTTCGTCGGCATGGTTATAGCAGTAGGGCAACCTTGTCCCTTGGTGTGTTCAGCCGGGTGTCTGGGTAGCGGGGGGATAACTTGGAGGGCCGGGTGGATGGTCTCTAGTGGGTCATCGTTCTTGCGTCTGCGGTTACGAAGCTGGCAGCAGGTGGGTGACCCCATTTCCAGAGTGCCTTTCGGCCGGTACGTCGGCAGCAGTCGGGCAGCTATGTCTCCTTAGCGCATTCAGCTGTCATATCCATACAATCCTGACCTCCGCTCCGGGCTCCTGGAAGTCCGAACTCCGACTTCCGGAGCCCTACTTCCCTTCCGTCACTTTCTCCTTGCCGACTCCCAAGAGGTTATCCCACCTCTGGCCCGGACACCACCTTCAGTCCGACTCTGGAACATTCCGGGTCCGACCCCAACCTTGACACCTTCCAGACGAGAACGCAAAACCTATGCTCCCGACTCCGGACCTCCGCTCCAGAATCCTGTTCGCATCTCCATCTCCAAAACCTCCGGTCTTAGCTCCGACCTCGGACTTTGACCCCACCTCCACTTATACCCATTGTATTGGTTAGCTCATTCCATTTAATTACGTTTGCCAATATTCCGGAGTTTAACCTCCGAGTTCGGACTTTCCGGACTTACTCCGGACCTTGCAACTATTGCATTGTCCATTTCAATTCCGCTATTCTCCCTCATTCCTATTTGGGCTGCTGCTTCCTTTCTATTCAGTCAGCTAGCCATTCCCCACTCCCAACCTCCTTCCTTCCTCCTTGGGCCTTGGCCCTTCATTCCTCCTTTGAGAAACACCATTGAGTCAAACCCTTGACCCTCGGTGTTGTTCCTCTTTCCATCTCCCTTTGTCTCCTTTTGTCCTACCCTTGTTCCTTTTGATTCCGGACCCCTCCTTATATACAATGTACCTAGTAACTTGTAACCTCAGTCCGAAACCGACATGAATTCCCCCCAAGAGACTTTCCCTCTGCTAGATCCGAAATTGGGGACCCCTAGGACAACCAGCAATGGCACAGCGCTCCACTTGAGTCGCTGAGGCCAAGGTCCTTCCACACTAAGTCTCCGATTCCGCTCCGGAGTTGTCCGAATCCGCAAGTTCTAACATCAGCGAGGTGTCCAGGTAGCAGTGGGATGACCCTCAACTCAACCTCACAGATTGGAACACAATCTGTGGGACAGCGTTGCAAGGGCCCAGGAATGGGAGTGTGGTTGTATCGCAGGTAATGAGTGTGCAATGGTCTGGGGGAAGTGATGACATGGCATGGCTGCCACTCGAAAATCGCAGGTTCAGCCTGTGCCCAGCTCCGACTCAGTCTGGGCTCTCACAGCCCATGCAGGACATCCTAGGTGGGCAGGGGCGAAGGTTGAAACCTCCTTCTGCTGTCAGGGGACAAACCCGGGTCCCCATGACCCCTCTCTCTATAACCCAGAGCCTGACCTGTAACAGCCCATCTCAGGGCACAATGCTACTGTGGGTAAGAAAGTGATATAAACAAAGGGGCAAGTAGATACACTTGCCTACTGTGGGTAAAGAAGGTTAACTTCTCACTTTCCCACAGTGGCCCCAATATGGCAAAAACTTCCGGGGATACCCGGAAGTCACATGAGGTGGGATCCGGGGTCGGATCATGCGGCGCACGGAGCGTGCGGCACAGGAAGTGCACGGGAAGTGGAGTGGGTCCGGACACGGGTCCGGGTCTGGGCTAAGTCAGGGTATGTGCCCTGACAGAAGTGCATCAAAAGTGCCTTGGTCCCAGCTCCCCTAAGTCCGTTACCACGCTGTATTATGTAACACTCTAAGTCACTCTTCCTCCACCTTTGTTTCCATCCATGTCTCACCTGGTACATATGTCACGATGCCTGTCTCCCTGCTTGCAGCAACTCTCAAAATGAATAATGAGTGACATTACAACCTATGATTATGTAGCTACAATACATGAACATAACACAGGCTGGTTGGGATTGTGGAGAACTGAGGGAGAGGGCATGGATGTGGTATGAACGCAATGTCTGTGCTCTGTCATGAGGCCAAAGTATCAGTGACATGGTAATTGCGTGAAAGAGAATAAGGAGAAAGAGACAAGCCACATACTCCATGTCCCTAGCAGCCTATGCTATGATAGTTCCCATTGAAGTCCAAGACCATGTTGGAGTCAGTGACAGTGGAGACAGTGGAGACGAGATGACGGTGATGGTTGATGAAAGTGGACAGGTGATCTGGGATGAAGAACTGTATAGTAGACACACTCTCAGGGTCCGCAGATTTATCAGCAGTAAGCCCGAGTTTAGATGCAGTTTAGAAAGTTGACTTTAGGCCAATTGGGGCTCTTGAGCCCCAAGTCAAAGTGGCTGGTTTAGATGCAGTTTAGGTCCAGTTTTGTCACTCACGTGCCACTTTAGAAATTTCACTTCGGATCTAGTTTAGCCCACTTTAGTCAACCGTGAAACCCCCTAATGTAATCTATGCGTCAATTGAGTCATGACGTTTTCTCGACATTAATTGTTGTTTAATGTTTTCATTTCACGAGACTAATCACGGGGCAACGATCGAACTCGGCCCAGCCAATGCTATGACTTCCCCTGGCTCGATCACCCCGATGCACCTGTCTCAGCACCGCACTTGCCCCATTGCCGCTTTCACGAGTTGCTGCGCAACCTAGGGACCGTGCCTCAGTCGTACGCTGGGTTTTCTGGCGCGGATGCGCAAAGCGGACCACACCAGCGGAGGTACTTACTGAACTTCACTCATCACGAGAGTGCTCACAACGATTCAGGCCGTGCTTATAAAAAGGGCTTTCACAGCGCCCCCTTTTTCCTTCCTTATCGCCTGAATCTCTCGCGACTCTCGTGGTGAGTACAAGGCCAACTTGCTGCTGTTCTTTCGAACTCATTCTCGTGATTTTGCCGCTGCTGCCTCCCTGTTTCCCTTGCTGCTTTTCCCCCCTCGACTCGCGCATATCCGCTGCTGCAGTCTCACACTAGTTTTCGCCTCCCCCACCCCCTCCCCTTTCACCACCGATTACTTCGTTTCCGATCTTGCGTGTATCTGTTTCCATATATATCTTTTTCTGGTTTTTAACTGTTCCGGAGTTTGCATGTATTACTATTATCCATTGTTCTACTTTCTTGTGTATTTCTGGTGTTTTGTCTGGAACTTCTTTGTACTTGTAGCCGGATCACGCGTGTCTCGCGCTGCTTGCTTGCTGCCAATACATTCTGGGCCTCCTGGGCCGTCTCCCGCTACGACCTCAGTCAACCCTGATTAGTTGGTTTTAAAATATTTCCTCATTTCGGTAGTTGTGCACGTGGCTTTTGTCTGTTCTGTCGGAAAACACGGAATTTCGTTTTAACGCGTTAAGAGCTCTCAACGCGTTTCAACGCCTTATTGATCCGTTCCAACGCTTTATTAATCTGTTCCAACACTTTGTTAGTCCGTTCCAACGCTCAAAGCAAAAATCAAATTGTAAATACTCAGCCGCGCTGTAAACATCCCTGTTCACAAATGCATGGATGCGCTTTCCTTTCACTGTCAACCACGGCTGTAGCAACTGCACATTCACATTTCCATACCCTGTACTTTCAAGCTACATGGGAGTTCTCCATACTCAGGTAAACACATGTTTCATGATTCATTGCCACAAATTACCTTCGCTTGCTTCACATCGATGACGTCTACTACTTGACGGCCAACCACTCTCACGGCGAACAACCACTTCAGCAAGTGACGAATCCGCAACAACCCCACCATTCACTTCCTGTGTCATTTTAATGAGTGGGGTTCCATATGGGAGGCCGGGCGCTGAGTCGTAACTTGCACATGTCATTCAGGGACAGCATGGACAACGATTCCGATGCACACAGAGAACGTTGCAGCAATTTTTTTCGGTAACTCACTTCATAACAGAGTGCACCCCCCATCAACTGTCAGTGTTCAGCATAGGAATCTTCCTTTATCGCTCCATGTTCCACCACCCTCAACGTCCACCGCACATTCTTATTTAAGCCACTTCATTCACTGAGTTCTGATTTGTGTTTGCGCTTCATGTTCTCCTCAATACCACTGCTGAAATGAACTTCAACTTTGTTCGAATTCTAACTCCACATAGCACCACCATTGAGAGCCACAATGAGACATGGTCCAATCCCACAGCGGGTGTACACATATTGAGAATATCAAGTAACTTAGCCCAAAAGACCTATCGACACAACTTTATGTCAACATATCAGTGCAAAGCCGAGAGTGCATGATAGTGTAGCGGTTATGAATGTACTTACTATAATGACCACAGCGTTCCTTGGTTCAATTCTCACCTGTACCAACCATTTAATGATATTTCTGGTCCTATTCCGCAATGTGAGTTACCAAAATTGAGGATAATGTGTGGGGACGTAATGAAATGAAGGTAGGCTTCAATCCTGGCCTGCAAGGAGTTGTCTCTTTTTGTTGACCCTACCTTGTTGCCGTTGCAACGCGTTGAAACGGAGGGGAAGCGTTACAACGCCTCGAAGCGTTGGAACGATCGAGTTCAGTGTTGAGAGCGTTAGAACGGCACGTGCCGTTGAGAGGCGTTACAACGCCTTCTAACGGGTCACAACGCGTCCGCAGTGTTTTCCGACATCTAGATCTGGTCCATCTGCCCCTCGTGTTTAGTCTTCCCAGTGAAGACACTCTCGAATGCGAGAATCCAAGCGTAATGTCCGATTGAGGTGGCTTCGCGATCATGGTAGTCCGCCCCTGGATAAGACGAAAGGAGTTCCCTGTGGCCAACGACCGCCTAATCAATTGATCTGGGGCCATAGTCTTGATGACTTTTTTTGGATTGCTCGTATTGAGGGGATCCTGCCTGGAGCTGCATTTGACGGGGTTGAATGCTTGACAATCTGGTCGCGAAGTATGGTACGAGAATCCAAAGACTCGGGCTACAATGATGACGAGCACAAGAGGGAGCCTCCCCCAAGAAAAAGGAAACCTTGGCCCCTTCTCAAACTTCCTAAGCGAATGAATGCGGAGAGTAGGAAATATGGTTTCGGAGTCATCGATCCGGGATCGGATTATGATAGTGACGATGATGAGTTCAACTGCCATACGGCCCTTATCGACGTTGACTCCGACAACGAGGAGAAAACTAGGTTACTCTCTAACAGAGATGCGTTCAGGAAACTTCGTACGTATATGTATCGATGTTGATCGGGGCTCACATTCATATCCATTTCATTCCTAAGTCGAAAAGGGATTTAACAAGGACTGGCCACCGGGTCGGGGCCAACTCATCCAGGAGGCTGTAAAGAAGGGGAAGATTTCTATAGATGATGGGCCGAAGCTTCTCGTTTTCAAAGACATCAGTGAGGCTTATTTCCTAGCCAGACGTGACTGCGTTACGTGTTGGAACGTCGGGACGCTCCGTTGTCCCGACTGCACTGTTAATCCTCCTCCAGTTGTCTATGTTGTCCGCTACAATACACGAAAACCGAAGTTCATTGAAGACAGAAAAGGAAAATCGACGGCATGGTTCGCTGATCCCAATATGCCGTGCATATTCAGTATAGCCTTCATGCAACGCAGGTAAAATTCGCCTCTAATTGAAGACTGTCCACTGATTTATGTCCGTTTGTCTGTCCAGGACGAATTCTCCGAGATCAATATTACCGGGACCTTCTCAACCCGTGCGTGCAGGACGGTTCGCTCACAGGAGTATTCGGGACCAAAATCCTTCATTTTTCTGACGGGGAAACGTTTTATGTGATAAATTCGCAATGTAAGACTTGCGATGGGAAAGGCTTTCCCGGCTGTGGAGTATGTGGGAAGGACACTGCTGAACCTATCTTTGCCGAGTTCGATAAGAATGGGAAGGTTTGGTTTGCGGATGCGAACGGAAATAGGGTAAGAGGATTGGATGACCCAGGTCCGTTCAACGTCTTCTCTAGCTCTGTTAGAGTTTCACACCAACCGGAATGTCTCTTCCTTATACAGACCCGAAAGCGGGAAGTGACGACTCGAACGGTGATCATGATTCGAGTATTGATGGCGATCCGAACGATGGTGAAGATCCGATCGGAAGTAATGATTCGAACGTTGGTGACGATTCAAATGCCGGTGACGATCCAAACGTTGGTGACGGTCCAGGCGTTGGCGATGGTCCAGGCGTTGGCGATGGTCCGAACGTTGATGACACTCCTGTAGCCACGCCCCCAGTGAATGCCCTTGAGCCGCAGCTAAGGGGTCTTCCGAAAACTGTCCTACTGGAAAACACACCGGCAACTGAGATGAATGAAACAATTCGATCTCATGCCAAACCCGACGAGTCACTACATGCCAATACAGACAACATCCCAACCGCCGCAGATGAAAAGAGCGAGGAGAGCGACACAGATCCAGCAGTCACAAGCAAAGGGAGTCCATTGCTGATCAAACCTCCTAATATGCCACCTTCCCTGGAGGAAGAAATCCCACCAGAATTCTTTCCCGATATACTAATTGTGAAAGATGCGGCTGGAGGCATCATTCGTTACCACTCGTCAGATCATGCGCCTGTCGCTGATGAGTACTCTTCTATACTTGATAAGCCAGTCAAATTCAGACGAGTTCTGCCCTCTCCGACAGACGATCCCAAGAAACGATCGTCTTCCTTGGCACAAACGTTCCGCGTGGCGGAGCTGCGCCTCTCTCTTAGCTATAAGCTGGGAAGTGGGAGCCATTCTGACGTCTACCTCGTTCCACTCAGATTACCCCGTCCACTTTCTGCTCGAACTCCCACTGGAGAAGTTTCCGTTGCTTGCAAAATGGCACATGATAGGTCCTGTGAGGCACGGGAGCTTCTTGAGAATGAAGCGAGTGTATACGCTTCGCTCCCTAGCCACATGTTCGAAGAGTGGAATGGATATAATCTCCTTACGCCTGAATTCAGGGACCCTGTCCCTGTTGGTCCCGTGGCTCCGAAATTCTTCGGTTACTATAAGGCCACCTACGACCCAGAGTACTATGCTGAGGAAGAGAAGGATCTCGATGAAGAATCCAGGGAAAGCATGAAAGCGTTCATCGAAGGACTGAGCCCTATTCTCTTGATGGAGCACTGTGGGGAACAGATCGATCCAGACGAGATGCCTGAGGATGATCGGTGAATCTCTATCCCACCCGTCCGAGTTAAGAACGATGCTGACAAGTAATCAATAGGGACGAATGCATGTCTCTTTTATACCGAATGCACCTCGAGAACTATAAGCACGGTTCTGCTCATGTTCGTAACATTGTAGTCCAACCTGGACCGCTTACACTCCCGCCATGGCGTCGCAGTCTGAAACACCCTTCGTTCCGCATGGTTGATTTTGGTCGCACAATGTATTTCTCTGATTATATCGAGGAGTGTAGGAGATCGAGGCCAAGGGATGAAAATTGCTATTTTGCGCCACGCGAGGAGAGGAAGACGCTGAAACGGGAATTGCTATACGAGGAATGGTGGGAGTAACAAAATACTCCCTATCTCGTTTGCTATTGGCCCACCCTGCAAACGTTCCAATCCGACGAAGGCCCAAAATTGCTGGTTCTGCACGACCCACTCAATTTCTGCAACGAGCTAACGCGGCACTCACATGTGCTATCAACACCCGAGTTCTCTCTCCCTTGCGCATTATTACACCCACTGCTTGATCCGCCGTACTGTTCATGTGCTAGTAGCATCATAAGCCGCCATGCCCGACCGTACTAGTGGGTGCAATTATCCCACTGCCATATCAGTACGTGCACAGCTGCTGCTCGTCTCTCCTGATATTTGTTTCTTTTTTCCTACTTGCTCATTGTCGTACCGCGCGCGCACCTGCCACCGGTACCCACCAACTCCTTTGCAACCTCCGTCCCAGTGGCCTGATGACCAGTTGCCTACATTTTGACGCTTTTGTCGTCCACCATCAACTTCCTCTTTCTTGTGATGTAGTGTTGTCTGGTTTACTTTTCCTCTTTCCCTGCATGATCAGTTTTTGATTTGTCCAATGTCCTCGTACTCTATCAACATTGTTTGTCCTCGTGTTGATACATCACAGTTGGTCGTCTGCACACGACCGTTTCCCATGTCACTCGATCTTCAGCCACCCAATATCCTTCATATGTATACACACATGCAAAGTCATGCAATTGACATCTTTTCGAAAACTGACTATTTATACTGGCGGCGTGATGCATGAATCCAAAGTCCACAAATTTACAGTGCTAGCCACTGCCCATGCAGAGAAGGAAACGTGGAAAAACAAAAAGCCGGGGCTTCGAGGTGACAAATACTCACAAACTATTGGCATGTCCAATCGAAAGGTCAATCAGTGTCAGTGAACGTGGCATTTTTGATTCCGGTCAACCCACTACCATTCAACTATCAAATTTAGCCCAATTTAGTACTCCCCTGTCTCGTGTATTTCTGTTTCGTCTTGTCGGTGGGGAGGCAAACTCGACCCAGCTGTGGACGCGAATGTTAGAAGATAACCCCTTTTGGATTACATACAATTCAAATATCAATTAGTTTAATCCAATTCGATCAACTCAATACAAATAACCAGTCACATGCAACAGGATCAAGAACACATTATTTGTATTGAAATCTGTATTGGGTTGATTGAATGGCGGAGAATTGGAATTGGCTATGTTCACCCACCCTCGGTTTCCGCTTCATGGACAACGTCAGCTTCGGACTTAGAGTCGATCGAGTGGAGAGGTCACCTTCTCCAATGTCAGAATCCAAACGCACGGTCACACGGTCATGGGATCGCCCTCCAGATGGCCCATTTCTAGATAAGACGGTGTTCACTCCTCCCGATGGCCAACGAACGCCCAACGGCCAAATCTGGGGCCATAGCCTCGATGATCTTTTTTGGTTTCCTCGCGCTCCGGGAGTGGACGTCTTGACAATCTGGTCGCGAAGTATGATACGGGAATTCGGAGAGTGCTACGATGATAACGAGCACAAGAGGGAGCCTCCTCCGAGAAAAAGGAAACCTTGGCCCCTTCTTAAACTTCCTAAAAGAATGAAGGCAGAGAGTAGGAAATACGGTTTTGGAGTCGTTGATCCAGGATCGGACTCCGGCGATAGTGACGATGATGGGTTCAAGTGCCAAACGGTCCTTATCGACGTTGACTCGGACAACGAGGAGAAAGCTAGGTTGCTCTCCAACAGAGTTGAATTTAAGAAACTTCGTATGTCTATGTATCGATGCTGATCCGGGCTCACATTCATAATGATTTCATTACGAAGTTAAAAAGGGATTTAACAAGGACTGGCCGCCGGGTCGAAAAGAACTTGTTCACGAGGCTTTACCCAAGGGGAAGATTTCTATACACGATGGGCCAAAGCTTATTGTTTTCAAGGACATCAGTGAAGCATATTTTTTCGCCAAATTGGACTGTCCGACATGTTTTCACTTCGGACCGCTCCTCTGTCCCGAGTGCACTGTTAATCCCCCTCCAGTTATCTATGTTGTGCGCTACAATATAGGAAAACCGAAGTTCATTGAAGATAGAAAAGGGAAATCGACGGCATGGTTCGCTGATCCTAATATGCCATGTATATTCAGCGCAGCCATCTCAGGTAGGTAAATCCATTGGAGACTGTTCACTGATTTACACCCTTTTTGGGTTCAGGTTTAGGGGCCATTGCCCCAGATCGAAATTACCGGGACGCGTGCGTGCAGGATGGTTCGCTCATAGGAGTACTTGGGACCACAATTCTTCGTATTCCTGGCGAGAATGTGACAGGTTCGAAATGTAAGACTTGCGGGAAAGACCTTCCTGACTGTGAAGGGTGTGGGGAGGACACTACTAAACCTATCTCTACCAAGTCCGATGAAAATGGGAAGTCTTGGTTTGCGGATCCGAGCGAAAATAGGGTAAGAGGATCGGATGACCTAGGTCTGTTCGACGTCTTCTCCATCTTTAGCCAAGTTTCGCATCAACTGGGATGTCTCTTCCTTCCACAGACCCGAAAGTGGGAGGTGACGATCCGAAATTTGGTGCTTCTCCTCTAGTCACCCTCCCACTGGTGGATGCCCCTGATCCGCTGCTCAAAGGTCTTCCAGAATCTGTCCTACCAGAAAACACGCTCGCAATTGAGAAGAGCGGAGCAATTCAAGCTGGCGTCAAATTTGACGGGGAGCGCCTTGCTGATCGTGCAGACAATGTCACAGCCGCCACAGATAAAAAGAGCGAGAAGGACAACGCAGATTCAGCAGCCACCAGAGAGGAGCCCGGAAGTCCGTTGCCAACCAAACCTCCTAATATGCCACCTTCCCTGGAGGAAGAAATTCCACTAGAATTCTTTCCCGATATACTAATTGTGAAAGATGCGGCTGGAGGCATCATTCGTTACCACTCGTCGCATCGTACGCCCTTTGCCGACGAGCACTCTTCTATACTTGACAAGCCAGTCAAGTTCAGACGAGTTCTGCCCTCTCCCCGGACCGCAGACGATCCTAAGCAACAATCGTCTTCCTCGGCGCAACCCTTGCGTGTGGCAGAGCTGTGCCTCTCTTTAACTTATAGGCTAGGAAGGGGGAACCATTCTGATGTCTATCTCGTTCCACTCAGATTACCCCGTCCACTTTCTGCTCGGACTCCCACTGGGGAAGTTTCCGTTGCTTGCAAAATGGCGCATGACAGGTCTTATGAGGCACGGGAACTTCTCGAGAATGAAGCGAGAATATATGCTTCGCTCCCTAGCCACATGTTTGAAGAATGGAATGGATATAATCTCCTCAGTCCCTATTTCAGGCATCGAACCGTCCCTGTCGGCCCCGTTGTCCCGAAATTCTATGGTTATTACAAGGCAGTCTACGACCCAGAGTACTATGCTGAAGATGAGGAGGATCTGGATGAAGAGTCCAAGGAAAGCCTGAAAGCATTCATCGAAGGATTAAGCCCCATTCTCTTGATGGAACACTGTGGAGAGCAGATCGATCCCACAGAGATGCCTGAAGATGATCGGTAAATCTCTATTTCATTCACCGAAGTCAAGAGCAATTATGTTAACAAGTCACTAAAGGGACGAATGCATG